ATTCCTTCCCTATAGGGTAACTTGCTTCCATCTTTTCCTTCCTTTTATAATTGCACTGTTAAGGGTGTAGTCAACTAGGCACAGGCCATGTCACTGCTCCGGATCTCTGTTGTTATGGCAGGGCTATGTTTCTTTCATATCCAGATATGGTCCCCTGAGGAATGCTTCTAAGAACCATGAAATAGGTCAGTGATAAAGTTGACTCTAAGGAAACACTCATCAAGAATCTTGCCCTGTTCCAGTTTTGACTGGGAAATAGGCTTAGTCATATTGTCCACGCTCTGCAAGTTGGGCTGTGATGAATCCAACACACCATATTTGAGCAATGGAAATGTAGGATGAAGAATGCAGTCTCATCAAAAATCTCTACAATTTTTAAACAATAAGTCCCCACAGAGAATTGTAATCTAAACCTTCAATCCTCCTGTCTTCTTTGTTGGCTCCACCTCAGCCAGAAAAAAAAAAAAAAAAAACCAACAACAACAACAAAAAAAACCAGAATCCTCCCTACCCAGTACCCGTAAGCATTGAGTAGTCTGTGGTCCTTCAACTGTCACTAGGTCTGAGCAGCTGGCCCTGGTACTGGCTAACTTCTCCCCTCTGCTAAGCCTTGATGAACCAAGCGGTACTCTTGTGAGATGCACCTTAGTCAGCTTTCCATCACTGTGAAAAAATGCCTAATAGAATAAACTTATAAGAAGGAAAGGTTTACTTTGGCTCATGGGTTCAGAATTTTCAGTTCATGGTCACTTGGTTCTATTGCCTTGGACCTGTGGTGGCATGGTATGTCATGAAGGGAGCACATGGTGGAGGCCCATTCACCTCAGGATGGCTAGAAAAAAGAGGGGAGAGAACAGGGGGGTGGGGAGGGAAGGTGGGAGCCCTCTCTGAGGTCTAAATATCCTCTTCAAGGTCACATCCCTAATTTTCTCCCACTGGGCCCCACCTCCTAAATGTTCCACAACCTCCAAATAACACTGTAAGCTGGGGACTAAGCCTTTAACACATGGGACTTTGAGGGACATGCAAGACCTAAACTATATAGCAGCACATGTCTTTAAGCAACAAAGAAACAGAAGGGCATATAAGAACATTCCAGCTCCAACATACACATACACACACATATATGAGAGGGAAAGAACAGAAAACTTTCCTAGAGGATTCTCAGTTGCACAGCAGCTTCTTACCAAAGCACCTGCCATCATCTCAAGCAGAGGTGATACTCCAGGAAGGGAACTGTGCAGGCAAGACCCACCTACTGGGTTCACCTGAAGAAACTTCAAACCTCACTGAGGATGTAGCTCAGTTGGTAGACTGCTTGCCTAGTGTGTGTGAGGCTCTGGTTTTAATCCATAGCACTACAAAAAACAATAGGTGAATGCTTTTTCAAAGAAACTTTACACCCTTGCAAACATGGGGAAGTAGAGTACACAGAGGGAGGGAATAAAGAAAAGTCAAAACCTACCTTTTTATTGAAAAATAATAATTACATATAGTTATGGGGCATAATGTGATATTTTGATATATATATATATGTTTTACAATGATTAAATCAGGCTAATTAACATATCTATCACCTCACATTTTTTTTTGTAGTGAGAACTTATTTTTTTCCAGTTGTAGATGGACACAACACCTTTATTTTATTCGGTTTTTAATTTTTTTATGTGGTGCTGGGGATCAAACTCAGTGCCTCATGCATGCTAGGCAAGCACTCTACCACTGAGCCATAACCCTGGCCCCAGCAATTTTAAAATACTATATTCAATATGTAATTATTAACTGTAGTTACACAACAGATTTCAAAAAGGATCAGAGAGATGGTGTGATCAACAGACACAAAGTTAGAAATAAGTTCAGGAGATATAATATACTGTTCAATGTGATGGCTACATTTAATGTATTATATACTTGAAAATAATGAAGAGCAGATTTTAAGTGTTCTGAACACACACACACACAACAAAAAAAAAAAACTAAAGAAAATGGTGGATTTTAGATGTTAATTGGTTGAATTTGGCTATTACACAATTTTAAAACATCATGCTGTAACTATATATATATATATATATATATATATATATATATACACATACATATATATATATATATATACACACACACACCCCATATATATACATACATATATACATATATATATATATTATTCTTTATTAAAAAAAATAACCTTAAGCCAGACAAAGTGGTGCACACCTGTAATCCCAGTGGCTTGGGAGGTTGAGGCAGGAGGATAATAAATTCAAAATCAGCCTCAGCAATTTAATGAGACCCTAAGCAACTAAAAATAAAAAGGCTGAGGATATAGCTCTGTGCTTAATACCCCTGAGTTCAATTCCCAGTACCAAATAAATAAATACAATTTAAAAATAAAAATAAACTGGGTGTGGTGGTGCATGCCTGTAATCCCAGCAGTTTGGGAGCTTGAGGCAGGAGGATCGTGAGTTCAAAGCCAACCTCAACACTTAGCAAGGCCTAAGCAAATTAGACCATCTCAAAATATAAAAAGGGATAGGGATGTATCTCAGTAGTTAAGCACCCCTGGGTTCAATCCCTGGCACCAAACAACAAACTACATTCTTCCAGTGTAATTGAAATATTATACCCCATGACCAACATCTCCAATTCCCACCACCTGCCCCCGGTCCCTGGAAACCACCATTCAACTCTCCATTTCTATGAGTTCACCTTTTTTAGATTCTTCATATAGAACAGTCATCCCTCAGTATGCATGGGGGATTCTCTTCAGATACCAAAATCTGTGAATGTTCAAGTTCCCTCTATAAAACACTGTAGTGTTTGCATATAACCTCCACACTTCCTCCCATATACTTTAAATCACCTCTAGATGACATGATCCCTAATGCAAAGCAAATGCTATGGAAGCAGTTGTTATAATATATTGTTATACTATGAAACATCAGTACACATTTGCTGCAGACGCACTGTTTTCTCCATATTTTTGATTTGTAGTTGGTTGAATCCATGAATACAGAACCTGCAGATGTAGGTGGCTGTTATTTGTCTTTCACTACATCTCATTGGTTTCAAACTGGGAGAAATCTGTCAGGTATGTCTGCTTTTATTCTCCACCTTTTGTTGTTCATTCACTTGGAAACCAGGCTCCACTCTGGAAAGCCCACAAGCTTCCACATGGTCGTCATGGAGAAGCATCCTTGGTATTGCTCTCTTTCCAGAGCCCTCTGCTTGTGGGCAAGGCACTTACCCTGACCAGTGGAAGGTGGTACAGCAGTCTACCCATATCTGAGGAATACATTCCAAGAATTCCAGGGAATACATGAAACCTCAAATAATGCCAAACTGTTTCCCCCAATATGTCCTACATGGTTGCCACAGAGTGCCAGAGTTATCTTCCATGTTTTAGGCCCTGGTGCCTCCTTTTCATTACCAGTCTTGTGGTTTGGGACCATTCTTAAGTAAAACACATGTTATTTGAATACAAGCACTGCAATACTGAAAGTCAGTCACACAGCTATGTTACTGACACGTGGGTAGCTCATACAATGTGAATGCACTAAACAAATGGATGATTTACAACCTGGGTAGGATGGAGTGGAAAGGCACCACATTTTATCACATTACTGAGACTGGCATGCAATTTAAAAATTATGATTTATTTCTGATATTTTCCATTTATTATTGTTTAAATCAAAGTTGACCACATAGAGCAAAGCCATGGATAAGGTGGGACTATGGTAATTAGATCAGTAGGTCTTGGCTTTTCAGGAGGGTAGGTGGCCCATGAGTAGCAAATGCCCCCTTGAGAAAACAAGGCTCAGGCCCTCTGGGTGTGGCCACAGAGACCACTATGTTCATAGTAACAAAGGTGGCTTTTCTCTTATCTCATAAGCAATATTCATTCCAGAAAACCCCTTGCAAGGTGATGAATAATCACTACCTTTTAAAATGTATTTTCCATTGGAATTATTTCCCCAATGACCAACAAAACATATACATCAAAGTCCTAGCTTATAATGCAAAGTTTCCCAGACCAAATAGTCGATTAAAAGTGTAAGAAACAGCAGAAAGAGTGCACACACTAGTCAGCTATTAAGAAACCACAGGCTGTCTGCAGGCGAGATTTGACCAGTGTGGGCCTTATTACCATGGCAGCACAGGGGTTGCTGGCAAGCTATCCCTGCCACAAAAGTCAAGGCATGCTTCTGTGTCATGGTAGGGGTATTCTAAGATACTCCCCCAAAGTTAGCTCCTCCCATTGATGAGCCTGTTTCAGGGGTATCAATGTTTTCCCTCCACCTGTCATTTCTGCAGGTGACAGATGATTAAGGAATATTTCAGAGGAATCTACAGGCTTCAAAGCTGATTTCAAAAACAGAAAAATGTCCCAGGTCCTTCTGTTTGCATCAGTGACTATGGCCCAACCAAAGAGGTGGCCAGGAGTAAGGCCTGATCATCTGGGGAGGCTACATGAACTTTCCTCTTCCCTGACTCTACTATCCTGGCTTCCCCAGGACTGGAAGGAACCATGAGGAGCCCCAGTGCATAACATTTCCATGGTATGGGATCAGGGACCCATACCATGTCACTTAACTGAAGCAAGATTTGGGTCACAGATCAGCTGTTTCACAGTGTGCTCTGCAAGCTCCCAACCTACGCACACCCAGCCTCTTGCCTGTGTGGGAAGTCTCTTCTCCACCTGGGCCTGTGCCCTAGTGCTTATACTGTGGTGAGGGCAAGGTGGGGTCAGACCACAAAGTAAGGGTGCCAGCCTGGGTGGGCCTTATGGAAACAAAACACACAGCCTCAGTTCTTGTTCTCAGCCCAGCACTGTGGCCTAGGAGACCATGCCAAGAGGAAATTCCTAAGACATAAAATGGAGTCAGGCATTGAGGGGGCATGATATTCTCAGGACCCATCAGCCAGAGCAGGAAGTTGGCTGCACCTCTGCCTATTAGCTGAGCAAACAATGCATCTCAAGAAGTTGGGGTGAGGCCCCAGCACTGGGTATATGAAGCCCTCAGGGCCTGGCTCTTGTTTAAGGTCCCGAGGGCATCCAATAAGTCCTACTCTGCCATGAAGCTCATCATCACCTTCCTGGTGTTCTACCTGTCCCTGCTCAACTATGGTGAGTGGCCTTGGGGCCTTGGCATAGGATGGACCTGCCACAGATGTCTGCTCTTCCCTGGCCCCTACTCCAGACAGTCCTGACGCTGCTGCCTCTGTAGTGCACAAGGCTACTCATATTGGTCCTTTCTGCTTTGTCTCTGGTGCTCTGGCTGTTCCTTCCAGGGTTTCCTGTCTTTTTCCTTCCTGTGGCCTTAGAAACCTTCCAGGGTCAGCCATGCCTGAGAGACCCCGTAGGCTTTCTCTCACCACACTGCCTGCCTAGGTTACTCATTTCACCCACCAACACCAGGCTTTCTCCAGCCTTGGACTAGTCCAAATGTCAGCCCTGATTTAGGAACAACCATCTGTTCTCTGTCTGGTGAATGCCCCCTCAACCTCCAAAGCACAGTAAGAATGTACTCTCCCCTGGAAAGCCTGCCCTCTAGCCTATGCAGAGATCACTTCTCCACCTCCAGACCACTTCCCATAGATCTCTTTGCAGCCATCTCCTATTTACGTGGCCACTTCTCCCTATTTCTGCCCGTCTCGCAGACTTGGCACAAGGCAACCATCTGTGAGGAAATAGTGAGATGGTCTGGTCAAGCTTTGAAACTTCCCTTTGAAAGTGTCCTCTCAAAGAAACAGGTCCTCAGCTAGGCCTCTCGGAATCCACTGTGTACAGGTGTGAGTTCTTCCTTTGTGTTGACAGGTGACGGTTTCTTCGTGGACTCGGTGGTTAAGCCTGTAGCCCAACCTGTAGCTGCTGTAGCTCCTGCTGTGGAAACTGTGGCTGGGGCTGTGCCCAAACTCCCTTTCACCTACTTCAACCCCCTGAAGATCATGCTGGCCAGCCTGGGCATCCCAGTGGAGAACCTCATTGAGGGTTCCAGGAAGTGTGTCACTGAGCTGGGCCCCGAGGCCGTGGGGGCTGTGAAGACACTGCTGGTAACAAAGGCAACCTAGGAACCCCTTCCTGTGTTGCTGTCCCTCCCTGGTTTCTCAAAATTGTTTTAAGAGGCATCCAGTTCTGTTAGGGAGACCGTGCTTCTTGTCCTGCTCCAACAAGCCATACTCCTGGAGTGCGGTGACCTTGGGTATGAATCAGGTTGACCATATGTGAGCTATGGGGGCTGCAAAGGGCCCAAGTGGGGCACAGTAAGGACACATCTCACAAGGAGGCTGCCAGTGGGCTGTGGCATTTGTCCTGGTGCTCATTCCCCATTTACCATCTAAGAACCCTCCCTGGGGCCAGCAGCTGTGCGTGCCTTCCTGACTTGAGTAGCCTCAGATGCCCAGGGCCTCATGTCAGCTCTCCCTGGTAGCAGTGAAGCGGAAGGGGCACACTCAAACTTGTTTTCTCTTTTCCAGGGGGCACTGACATTCTTTGGTTGAGCCAAGGCAGGATTAACTCTACCTGAGGACAAGAAGCTACCCACTGGCAAGGGCTAGAAATCCAGCCGCTGGTCCTGAAAACGGCCACATCCTTTATCTTCCTTAATAAACCTGGCTAAGAGCAGTTTTGCAGTTGTTTTTTTCCTTCTGAAAGTCAATCCCCATAGGGGACCAAGAACACCTAATACTCCAGATTAGGTAGGTAGGTAGGGTGTTTGTGAGAAGGAAGGAGGGAGGGAAAGAGAAGCTGGGGAGAAGATGAGGGAGAGAGAAAGAAAGGGGAAGAAAGCCAGCCAGAAATTAAAGGTGACTGGAATTCAGTTAAATTGGGCGTGGAAACTGGGAAATTTTTCTTTAAACATTTTGCAAAATTGACATTATAACCATGTAAATATTCTACATTGCTACAAAAGACCAAAATGTTTTAAAAGGCAACCTCTAAAGTTGAAATAAAAACAAGAAACTTAAGTTTCTTTTAGTGGCAGAAGCACTATAGAGCATCTATTTCTAGTAATGTGAAAATACAGTACTATACATCATGGGGGATGCTATCCCAGCCCCATTCTTTACGTGTTGTTATGAATCATACACTATGTGAATGCCATTGAAACCTGAGATTTCTGGAACAGCTAAAAGGAGATACTAATTTATATCATTAAGGTTAAGTAAAAACGTTAAGAGACGAGTACTCCATGTCTGGAGATGTTACAGATATGAAGAAAAGAGGCTGGGCTCAACAGCATGGTTTCCAAGAAAGCAGCAGACTTTTAAACAATGCTATCTGCAGAAAGCTCAATATGATCCCACATAGACTAGAGTATCTTCAAGGACAAATCCCTTCAGATTCCCAGAAAAAAAAAAAAAGTCGATTCTTTCTGTAGTCAAATGAATCTTTCAGAGGTTTCCCAAACCACTGTTTATCAGCCAATCAAGAGAGCTAAATCTGAAACCATGGTATAAACTTCTATTTTTGTCAGCCCTTAACATCTACCTCTGAATTTCATGCATTTCTACTTCACAGGGTAATTATTTTATATGTACTGGCAGCAACATACAACAAATATTTAGTGTTTAAAAAAAAAAAAAAGTAGGGCTCGAACTGACCCATTTTATCTTGGGGGACAGGTTCTCATCTCTGTTCCCTAAAGACCCTAGAAATTGACTCATTAGTAGAAGACAGAATTCTTACATCTAGATTTTGGTCTCTAGATATTACTTCCCACTTTAGGAACCAGGAATCGTTGGATCAATGGCTGATTCCAGGTCTGGAGCAGGAAACAAAAAAGAATTTCTCATAAGAGGAGGCTGCTACCAAGATTATCAGGATTTACCCAAAAGACACAAGAAGCCAATCTGAATAAAGCTCCCATCAGCTGAAGATGAGTTAATTTAGAACACTAGTAATGGTAATGGCTGCACCAGACAAAATTCATCCAGTGTTATAAATGCACATATATTTGATAGAGGGGAGAACCTGCTTATTTCGTTACCTTTGGAGGACACAGGGAAACCAATTCATTACTTTGAAAACTGATAATCTGTGCCACAGATCACCAACATTTGATTTTTTTGTTTCACAAAATATAAACAAAGGAATGATAAAAATAGGCAGTCACTTTTAAACCTGTAGTAAATCAATGGATATAGGGATGTTGATAAGGTTGCTAATACCACAGAAAGATAATACACACAACATACACCTAATAAAAGTATATAACACCTTTGAAGCAGTTAATCTTAGATCTGTCTGGTTTTGATATCAGTGTAGTGATACTGGACTCAGGATGGGTTGTTTTCCTTCTCTATTTTTAAGAATTTAAAATTGATATCTAATGTTAGTAGTAATGTCCTCCCCTTCATGTGTGCAGTTGTGATATTTTTCCTGTTCAACTTAAAGGCTCACAAATTTTGCTGATCTTTCCAAAAAACCTAACTTTTAGATTTTGATTTTTCCATGTTATTCTTTTTTATTCTATGAATCTCTGCTCTAATCCTTAATCCTTGTTATTTCCTTCTTAACACTTGCTTGCTTTAGATTTGGTTGGCTGTTTGTCTTACGATGAAATGTTCTTTGAATTCTGTCTTTAACATAAGTCTTTACAACTATAATTTTCCCTTTAAGCATCATTTTGATGCATACCATGTTTTAGTATGTTATCTTTTCACTTATTTCAGAGAATGCTCCAATTTCCTTTTTCTTTGACCCACTGTTTATTTAGGAATGCTTTACCTTCCCTATAATTCTGAAGTTCCCAACTTTGTATCTAACTTTGTCTCAATGACTGGAGAGTATACTCTGTATAATTTCAATCTTCAATTTAGGTCTGAATTAGGATATATATAGTATAGCAACCCCAGCTGTCTCCATAAAATACTCAGATAAATAAATATCATATAATGTTACTGATCATCAGTAAATGTTGGTTACAATCAAATCCATTCTTTGACATCAACTGGCTTGGGCTGGGGATGTGGCTCAAGCGGTAGCACGCTCGCCTGACATCAACTGGCTATTAGTTTATGTATAATATGAACAAGTAATGAAATGATTATCTTATATGATATAACAGGTAAAAATGGTCCTATAATCAAGTTTCATTTAACAAAGAAATATTTTACTGTGCCAGTCACACTACTCATACATAGTTCAAGTGTTCAAAAGTCTCTCACGGTTCAAGTTTGCTAATGAACAGAGTTAATCCTTCACACAAGAAAAAAAAAAATGTGTTTAGAATTCTTGGATCCCTTTGATCTGTTAAGTATTGCTCTATTTATATACCTTCTAATGCTTAGTCTTACCAGTAACCTCTTTGGAAGGCAGTTTATACCTAAAATCATTTTCAGTAATATAAAAAGCCTTAAAAAACAAGCTTTTAAAAACAATTTACTTTCTGTAATTAGTTATTTAGTAAGGGCTAAATCTGAATTTAATTCAGACTAAAATCTGAATTAAAAGTAACATGAAATGGTGTAACAAATGAAAAAAATCTTTTGACTAAATACCTTTGTCAAATCAATAAACGAAAGTGGAGGGCCAAGACACAGCACACACTGAATCAGGGTCTACTCTAATGAAAACAATGAGTCTTAGATAAAACTCACTTACTGTCTCTTCACCCACCTGCAAGGTAGAAATTGAGGTTCTCATTAATTCTATTTCAAATTCCCCTTCTTTCTATTCTTCTCTGCAAGCCCTCATCAGTTTAAAATATGTCAACTGAACCACACCAGAAGCCAGCTTAGTCTGACACCAATTAGTCTTATTTTTTTCAATCCATTCAACACAGTATTACTTGGTGGTATCTTCCTAAAACAAAAATCTAGCAATGCTACTCCCATTTAAAACCTGTGTGTAGGGCTGGGGATGTGGCTCAAGTGGTAGCACGCTCGCCTGGCATGCGTGTGGCCCGGGTTCGATCCTCAGCACCACATACAAACAAAGATTTTGTGTCCGCCAAAAACTAAAAAATAAATATTAAAAAATTCTCTCTCTCTCTTAAAAACAAAAACAAAAACAAAAAACCTGTGTGGCTCTTTACATCACCTACTGGATGAAGTTCAAACTTTTGACATGTTGGTCATGTTCTAAAGGCACCTCCGACTTTACTCATCATGTTCCAGTCCAGTCACTTCACTGGTGTACTCTGTACCCATTCGCACACATTATGTTCAAAATCCATTGCATTTATAGTTAAAGATATTCCAAAAGGCCTTTATTAAGAGTTCCCATTATTCATCCTGGAAAGAAGTTCTTGGTCCTTCAAAATACAGCTCAGAGATTACCTCTGAGAGATTTTTCAGGCTTATGTAGATTGTTGCTCCCTACATAAATGGTGTATCTTTAGCACTTATTACATTAGATTATAATGATCAACTAGGCACAAAGATTGTACCTGTAAACATCTACTTCCAAACTAAGCATAACATCTACAATTCCAAATGTTATGTAATTCTCAATTACAATTGAGTCTTGCATCAGTGTACGACCAACAAAAGTGGTTTGACATTAACCATCATGATTCACCAATGGATCAATGATATGTAGTCCTTTCACCCACTGAATCTGTACCCAGCAGCTTAGATTCACTTTGCTAATGAAGCTGGAAAGTACCGGACAATAAAGAGTTCTTGAAGCCCATATCTGGTCACATTCAGAGAGTAAGCAAAAGTTTCTTGAGTTAGATCCAAAATAATTTAATAGCATTTGGACAGACTAGAGAGACTGGAAGTTTGCAGCTAAAACAAAACAAAACAAAATATCTTATTTATGTGGAAATGTTACATATGCTAAGGGAACCACAGAAACTGGTTTTTAATCTACCCTATAATCCAGCACTTTTCTAAATTCTTAGCTACAGACTGGCTAGACTCTAAACTTAAAGAATTTAATAATATTCTGACTTATGGCTATTATACAGGGCAAATTTACTTATAAAATATTCTTCAAATCATCCTGAATTCTACCAAAAGTCATTTTTTACTAAATTTTTGCAAAGTATCCTGTTATGATAAAATTATCTTTGCAATATTTGTGAAAACTTATTTTAAAATTGACCGAAATTCAAAATAAGTAAATATTAGCCAAAAAGAAATCTTTGTATATACAAGGTCACACTGTTACCCAAAACCTGATGTTATTCTGAATATATTTCAATTCATGTTTCTTTAGGTACTTATTCCTCTAAAAAGAACACTGATTAGAATTTATAAAATAACATGGCACCCATACTTTCGTTATCTTTTTTATACTTGTTTTTGCACAATTATATGGCAAAACTAGTAGTAAGAATGGGACATCTCAGCAAACATTTATTTTCTCTAAACTGTCTTCTGAATTTGTAATGTTTTGAACAACCCACAATAAAAAATTTAAAAAAAATAAATAAAAAAAAAACTGTCTTCTGATTGTAAATGATTTTTTTTTATCCAGCACCCACATGAAATTTACATTTACTGTTATAGAACTAGTTCCTAAAAAGCAAATCAATGTTTTCTCAATTATAATTATCCCCACATCTGAAGACTTAGAAAGTCACACATTTTTAAAGGTTACACATACAACAAAATAAACATGTACCATGTAAAACATTTAATAAATTAGTATAATCCCAACACAATGTTTGCTACTGTATTTAAAAGCATTTATTTAAAATATGTCAACCTCCTTCCAAAAGACGTAAGACACATCAGTCCATTTCTTATATTATGAGGTATATGGCAACAACAAAAATCCTAAATTCAAAAAGATCATCAGGTGCCTAAATATAACATTGAACTTTGGCAAATATATGAGTGTTACACAGAATAAGACAGCCAATAAGGAAATACATATGTTTACACCATTTCCCCATATCGTGGCCCTGTCCCCATTTACTCGTCCCTTTGAAAGGGTGAGTTATAACCCTGTCCCAGATGACTGAAAATTTTAAATATGTGGTCTGCTGATTAACAGTTATTTTTCTCAAACCTAAGTACTACAACTATACAAATTACACTTTTAAAATATTTGAAACAGATATTGAATTTATTGGTTGGCTATGAGTAGGAAAATACATCGGTAAAGAAAAGAGACCCTGTATATAAATATAATACTAGCTAGTTACAATTTGACCAAATAGGTTCCACTGAAAAGAACAGTAAAAGCCCTTGTTACCACCAGTCCACATGGTATAAATTCAGTTTCCCATTACCCTTATCAAAGAGCTGCCTAGGCAAATGTGACATTCTTAGAGCTTAGTGCAGATAATGTGCTGGGTTTTGATATATGAATGGTAAACAAGAGATAGTCCAGTGCATTACACAATATAATGTACTGTGAGTAAAATGACTAGATACTCTATTTTAGACACCACATCAACATACCAGTTTTTAAAATTTATGTAACCAAAAAGAAGAGCAAAGCAAACATCTTAAAATACTGCTTTTGATTGGGGGAGAAAAACTTGCTTAAGGTGTTCTATGAATTATCTGCAATGTATGTACTGAATATTCTGAATGAATCATTAAAAGACTATTTTGCCTAGATTGGCTTTTGTCCTTATATGACATAGCCCCCAACCCTTTTATCATGATGGAAATTAATTCTGTAAGTTTAAATAGTAAAAATGTGGAACTCTAAAATTTGAATGTTATTTTTGAAAATCTGAATCTTAGAAGAGCTTTGAAATTACAATTTCAATATTCAGAAGTGCATTTTACCAAATTTAATGATGTCCTTAGGTTTCAAAAGTGCTAACCCTAAAAATGTTTTACTGGTTGTTACCAAATCAAATAAAAATACAAACAAAAACACATTTCTTGGAGATGTTCTTTGCTTATCTTCTGGGACTATTAAAGTTGCAATCAATTTATTTCTATAACTGTAGTTTAAATTAGACCATAAATTAATCTTGATGAACATTATTTTAAATTCTCAAAGCATAAATAATCACCACAAATATGGTAAACTGTACTTCAAGAGATTTACAACAAGGAATTGAGTGCCTCCAAATTTCTCATCTTTAAAACAGAAAACACGCCCCATATTTTCTGTAAAACATTCCTAATTTGGATTTATCCTACAGGAACACTGAAATTACATTATGGCAAAACATTAAATATGTTCCTGACAGAATTTCTGAAAAATAATCTACATTGTAAAAACAGACTAGTTTTATTGCATTTAGTAAGTATAGATTACTGGAAATTATTCAAGACACAGAAAATATTAAAACACAAGACCTTGCTTAACAAAAGTATAATCTATTTTGGTGTGACTGTTTAAAATTCTCTATAGACTCAAAATATTTTCTTTCTCTTTTGAAGGTTATTGTTGTAAATCTACAACACTCTTGGTTCAATTTATCACGATCTACATAGAGGCTGTTCAAGCTGACCCACAGAATGCGGTATGCCTGAAAGAGGCAAAACCAAGTATTTTCAAGACATAACAGGCCATTATATCTTAATATGCTGTCCCCAAATTCAAATATATTGTAGACAATAACAAATACAGATGAAAACATTATGTATAAAGCTCAAACCTTTAGCATCTAACAAGTGCACTCTAATTCCAGCATCTATGAAAAGAATACATATTTCATTAACACATATAAAATGAGTTAAGTGCTCCTCCACTCCCTTTCCACAAAGCTCTCTGGACCCGTGATTACATAATGCAGGTCATAGGAAAAGCAGCTTCCTTGGTCTCATCAGTCCAACCAGCTCTAGCTCACCCTCACTGGAAAACTGGAAATTCTCATGATGCACACGTTACCAACACAGTGTTTAGGAAAAATAAGTAAACACACCTTTATTCACACTTAGAAAAAAAAAAAAAAGAAACCAAACCAAACCAAAACTAACATACCATAGAAAGTTATGTACTGGTTCTACATGTTTTCCAATGTACTGATTATAAACTGGATATGTTTGTGTCATTAAAACTTAAAAAAAAAAAAAAAAGAAAGAAAGAAAAACCATCACAACAAAATCTTAAAATAAAAAAAATAAAACAAAACATAAAACTTAAAGGAAAAACCAGGTCCAAGACAAAAGATTCAAGATCAAAACCTTTGAAGAATTTCTTCAGGAAAAAAAAAAGAAAAGAAAAAGAAAAAATCATTTATTTAAACAGTATATAATTTTATTTTTCTCTTAAAAAACAGAATAAGCACATTTAAGTGCTGAATGTTTTTCATAAAATTTTAAGTCATTATCCAAAATGACTCATTCTCTGTATAAAAATTGTTAACAACACTCAACAATTTTTTTCTTAATGCTCACATGGTGTCCTTTTGCTGCCCTGCCTGCAGTTGAAACAAAAGCAGTTAGCTCCCTCTGAATTCATTTGATTTTTGAGAGAAGAATGAATGAGAACAGAACATATACAATTTAACTTTGCACAGTTAAAGCTGGCTTTAATCTCAAATCTACTAATGGCACTATGGGCAAAACACAGGGTACATATAACTTTTATCTTGGTTGACACTAAAATGACTTAGTCACTTTAAAAATGATCTGAAGAATTGCCTTAGGGACCTGTTTTGAAAACACATCTAAGTCATACTGCTTCATGAATGGAAAATTACTTTTTCTTAAAAAAGGAATGATTAAAAAAACATACATAAGGAATACATAGATAACCAAAAATAATTCACATGATAGTAGTATTCTGGGTGACAAACAGCACTGTATAATGACACCTAGAAGCAGTGCTTGGGTCTGGTGTACAAAGACCCAGGGACCCACCCTATGAACATATTCCAAAATATGATATTCAATGCTTCACAATGAGAAAAAAGCCACAGCTCATACAAAAGCATTTTCATAAAATTCTCACAAATGTTAAACAGTATTTAAAAAATATAAAAGAGGATGCACAGATTTTCTCTGCATGCACAGGCAGTGCTTGGTGAGAACAAATTTAGGCAGGCACAGTGGAGATAGGACAGGAAGTGTCTCAAAGAGGAGTTAAGAAGCTGTACCTAAGCAGCTATAAGTTTATAACTTAAAAACAGTTAAAGGTTTAAAAATATCAGAATGTACATATAATCAACCATCACATTCAGTCCATAAATGCCTACAGATCACTGTTCAGCTTATCTGTCCTGGTAGAGAGAGAGTTTTTGTAAAAATTCAGGAACTCATGAATAAGTTGCTGCTGGTCCAAGAAAATGTCCTAAGGTTTAAAGCAGACTTAGATTTAAAGAACAATTGTTCTCAATTTAAAAATAAAGTAGTACAAAAGGGCTAACAAAACCCTAACAGTGCAAATCATTGCAGAGAATGTCTGTTGCAACTCTTTTACAAGCTGGCCTTCAGAACACAGGAAACAGGATTTAAAAAAAAAAAATTTAGCCTTAGTTTACAATACAATCATTTTCAAATCTGATTTTTTTAAGTATAAAAATTTCATAAATCAGGTCTTCTGTGGATCATATACAATCATCAAGGCTAAATTCTATATTTTACAAACAAGTCTGAAAAAGGAGGAAGTCTGGAAGAATGGTCTCTGGATGTTACTACTGGCCTCAAAAAAGTAGTGCTACAGATTTCTGTGCAAAGAGAATATGCTGTTCAAACATTTTCCTATTTCAAGGCATGAAAATATTATACTCGATAGAAGAAACAGGAAAATTACTTGTAACAAATTAAAGATAGGTGCAAACACACCAATCCCTGTCTAGCAGTATATAAAGCATATTGGGCTCAGAATTTGTTGCTAGCACCTGGCTTTCATACTTTATCCTTATTTCAAATAATCAGATTGAAAATTCAAATCATCATTAAGAAAAATCCCTAGTGGCAATACCTCACTTCCCTATATTCAGATTTTTCACAAGTTTACAAATAAAACTGAGGTTATCCTCTGTAGGTACTTGACTACCTCCTGCCAGGAAGGTGAATGCCATTAACTTGGGGCAGGAAAGGCAGTAAGAGCTCCAGTTGTGCAAAAAGTGAGAAGTGGTCGGAGGGGATAAGTGGGTGTGGGCAGCCACTGATATTATTCTCAACTAGCCAATGGTGGTCCAGAGGTCCCAGGATGCCTAAAGTGTTCAGTTGAGGTTTAGAATAGAAGATGTAGTCAATTATACCCTGAAAAACAAGAAACAAGAAAAAAAAAAAAAAAAGACAAGGCCCCACATAAGATAACGCTGAAATACTGAATGTTTTCAAGACATACCCTTACATTCATGTTTGGTAAACAAAACAAATTTACTAGCTTATAGGAAGAGGTAGTATTATAGAAACCACATGGTCCCAAGAATGTCAAATTTAGCACAACAAAACATTCTTCCTATCTGGATCTTTACCAAATATACTATTGAAACTTTGTGATACTGAATCTTTGTGATACTACCTCTGCTTCTCTTTGTTAATTTCCCCTTGCTCACTACACTACTACCATAGAAACCTTTTGGGTGGGTGGGGGAAGAAAGTATCTTGTAGATACTAAATTTTTTCCTGTCCCAGGGTTTACATACATGCTGTCTCTTCTGCCCCAAACACTTTCTTTTATTTGTCATCTGGTTAGTTACTCTTATTCTTCAAATGTTAGGTTCATTTTCCAAAGATATTCCTAAATCCTGCTCCCACTCAATACTTTGACCCATTGATTTTCTTCCCTTGCTAATGATCATCCCAAGTTGTAATTACATCTTCTTTTGTGTGACTGAAACCTACTACAGTCCTCATGTTGACTGTCCCCCAAAGGTCCATGTGTTTAAAGGCTTGGTCTCTAGAGTGGAATTCTATTGGAGGTGATCCTATAGACCTGTAAGAGGTAGGGTCTTATGAGAGGTCCATAGGTCACTGAAGGCATGCCTTGAAGGAATTATGTGATCGGTATCCCTCTTCTTTCTTTTTCTCTGATTTTGCTTCCTGGTTTTTGAGGGAATCGGTTTGCTCTGCCATCCCCTCCCACCATAATATGCTTGCTGCTGCCTCACCAAAGATCCCAAAGCCATGGGGCTACTCAATCATGTACTAGAAGCCTCCAAAACTGTGAACCAAAATAAAACTTTATAAAATTATCTCAGGTATTTTGTTATAGTAACAGGAAGTTGACTAATATAAGACCTGTCTCTATAGTATCTAGCACATAGTTATGGATCTGCTGTTTTTGCCCTTCTCTTCCCATAATTTCAGCCCCTTCTCTACCTGCTTTTGGCCAAAAGCACTGAACCATACAAATGCCTTCTTCCTATCTCTATACTAGGAACAGAAATAAGAGGGAGGGTGAGTGGGGAAACAAACAAATCTATACTTTCTCCCACTCTTTGATTATTACTCTTGTCTCTCTTCAATCAGTCTGCCGAAGAATCTAAAAGGAAGGAGCTCTTAAGGACAACAGAAGTCATAATTTCTACATTTTAAGGTGCAAGAGCTCCTAAGACTCTGCCTAAACTCTCGTTTATATTCTAATAGACAAAAAAAATGGAAACTGGGATGTAGGAAAACAGAAATGCAGAAAATAACTAAAAAAGGCAACTGAACAAAGTGACATAGCTCTAAACAATCAATGATCTCAAAAATGTAAGAGACGCTCCACTACTATAAGCTGTTAATTGTGTAAGAGACACAAATATATTTTAGAAACACTTAAAATTGGCTAATATAAACCATATTATGGCATTCAAAGAATTACAGTTTCATTTAAAATAGACTATAAAAGGATGCCTCATCTTACCTGATAGCAGTATTATAATACTGCATATACAGCTATTAGTAATGAACAAGTAAGAAACATAATTGCTCCCAAAAGGTAAAAGATAACTCAGGAACTGATTTACTACCATTATTTCATGTGACTTCTCATGTTGGGAAATATTTTAACAGTATTAAGAAAATAAAGATGAGACATTAATCATATATGGAATTCTACAGAAGAGCAATTAAAAGTATACTGCTTTCAAAGAATTTGCTTAATTCCAGTTTGAACACATACCTACATTTTAAAACTTACTGAAATGACAAGACTTGCTGGTAAAAGTGAGGTTTTTAAAAGCTTATGAATCTTAAGACACACCTTGAAATCAAATGTGTAATTTGTGTAAGGCATCAGGCCACTCTCATAGGCACTCTTTAACTTGAAACCATGAGTGATCCTTCCGTTGGTCATTCCATTCTTCCCATTGCAGCTGAAGTTTATAAGACTTTCATTATATCTCAGTTCCTTAAAGTCTTTATGATTTGTTTCTACTCCACCAGTGCTCAAATATTCTACAACACCTAAAATGAAGACAAACAAGGTTTCATTATTGTCAAGTATAACATACAGTGAGCAAAATATAATTTTAAAAGACCATGCAGAAAACAGAAATCAGTGGAGCAGAGTAGGGGAATTGAGGAGAAGAAAGAAGGGATAAGAAAGGGGAAAAATGGTGGAATGAATCTGATCAAACTTTCGTATGTACATACATGAATATACCACAATGAATTTTACCTTTATGTATGTCCACAATGTGCTAATTTTTTAAAAAAGCTATAAAAATGAAATAGTTCAGTATAGTAGAGGAAGGGGAACAGAGGGAAGAAGGTGGGGATGAAAAAGGGAAGTACTAGTGGCAGAATTGGAGCAAATTATATTCCATGCTTGTATAATTATGTCAAAATGGACCCTAATATTATGTATAACTATAATGAACAAAAAATGCAATAGTAAAAAATTTTAAAAACCACTCACATTCCCACTTTCCATTTTTTTTCATTTGCCATAACTTGTCCTAATCCATTTTTATGTAGTTGTAATCATAGTACCAATATTTTGTACTTTGTTTTATTCATTAATAACTAGCTCACAAACAGATGTGCCTCCTAATTACCTTTAAAGGCTGTAAAAAAAACAATTGGGTTGGGGCTGAGGTTGTAGCTCAATGGTAGAGTGTTCACCTGACATGTGAGAGGCACTGGGTTCGATCCTCAGCACTATATAAAAATAAATAAATAAAATATGGTATTGTGTCCACCTACAACCCACCCTCACCCCCGCCAAAAAAAAGGGTTGGAGTCTAAACTAGTTCAGTGTTTTTCAAAATCCAGGTTATTGGCACTATTTAGAAAGAAAAAGATAACACCACGATCAACATCTTAGTACATAGGTTTTGCTTATGCTAACCTACTTCCAAGATAGTTAATCCTAATCTTGGGATTTTGTGTGTCATTTTATAATCCTGCCAATTATGAAAGAGAATGCCACCAGTTAATTACTGAGTTACTTCACCATCCTGGATACTATTTTTCGAATTTACTAAACATAAAATGCACTCTGCAAATATATTTTAATTTTCATGTAATTAGTTAGCAAGACTGGAATTTTCCCACATCTTTGCTATTGAAACACTGTACTTTTCTCTTCTTGCTTCTCAGATATTTTGTAGCTATTACAGAAGGCAGAAACATGTAGAGAAATTGCCAGAAAACAATCCTCAACTGCTTCAATAGCAGTATCCTGAGAGCCTGATGAGATGGACTAAGAATTACAGATCTTAGAAAACAAATATTAAGATTGTTTCTTTCTTCTTTGTGGCTCTTTTGTGATGGCAATAATGTGCTAAAAAAATTATCTATATAAACGTGTATATTGTATGATAGTATAAACAAGGAGCTGAAACACAAAGAACAACAACAATGTAGTTTGCTATTCTAAAGGCTATGGTTTATTCTCTCTACCATCTTCAGGTAAACTATTTATTCAAGATCAGGCTTTCTGTACTCTTCTACTTTAGGATAAAGATCCTTGCTCTTTTTTTATTAAGATTAACTGACTGTAAATAAAGGATCTCAATTCCCACCTGAAGTGGTATTATTTCAAAATAACAGTTGAGTATACCTTACCCAAAATGCTTAGAACCAGAGTGTTTTAAATTTAAGATTCTGGATATCCACATATACATAATGATCCTGAGAATGGGACCCAAATCTTAACATAAAATTCACTTCTATTTTATGTACACCTGAAGGTTATCTTTCTAATATTTTAAATAACTGTGAGTATAAAACAAGGTTTCATGATGTAGAATTTTCTACTTGTGGCATCATGTCAGAGCTCAAAATTTTGGGATTCTGTGGCATTTCATATTTTTGGATGAGGGATGCTCAACCTATATCACTTATTCATCAAAGATGATTAATGTCCTCCCTCTTTAGGTTTCCCCAAATACTACCTTTTTCTTCCCCCAAAATGATTTTCCACTACACACACACAAAATTTAATACCTCCTCATGAATGCCACCACAAACTGAAATTTCATTTGGATTTAACTTGGAATTGTTAGAAACAATACATTATAAAAACATTTTAAGTCAAAAAACATTCATTCTACATAAAATAACATTCTTACCAGAGTCAGGCAAAGAATTAAGATCTGCACATAACACAAGTGGAATAGTTCCAAATTCTCCCAATGCATTGGATTTGAGACTTCGAGAAGCTTTATCAATAATGTTCTTTACTTCTGAGAGGAACATCATAGTTTGTACCAACTTTACATCAGAGTATTCAGGGTCCCAATGCATATGAGCATTAGCCACAAGAATAAGTTGTTTTTCTGTTCCAAGATGTGGCTTTCCAGCTACATTAGATAAAAAGGAAAAAAAAAAAAACAAAAAAAACAAAACAAAACAGACAAAACCCTCCCATCAGCCCACAGATTCTTAGAATCTAAAAGCAAGTGATATATCTTAAGAGTCTCAGAATAGAAAAGAACCCTCAAATATATCTAATAATTTCCCACTTGATCAGTAACTATGCCATTCAACAAACCTTAGAAATAGATTATCTAAGCTTCAGGGCTGATACTTCCAACACAGTGTAAATTCACTATACACAAATAACCCATTCTTCCAACACAGTGTAAATTCACTATCTGTACACAAATAACCCATTCTATCTGGGATAGCTTGATTTTTAAATAGGTTTTTCCTCCTTGAAATATTTGGTTTTAGTTTATATGTCCTAAATTAAGCCTCTCAAAATTAAATGTAAATGCTCTTTCTTGAGTATGTTTTGAGGCACCCATTAAGGTCTTTCATATGTGCTATCCTTCCCATTAAATATCCCCAGTTCTAATTGTTCAAGTGACAGAAGCTTTAGTTTTCAACAGGACAATTACTCTAAATATACTTTAAAAAATTTTTTTTTAGTTGTTGATTTTTATTTTACTTATTTACATGTGGTGCTGAGAATTAAACTCAGTGCCTAACTCACGCCAGGCAAGTGCACTACCACTGAGACACAGCCCCAGCCCTTCTCAATATACTTTTAATTTGAAGTAAGTGGCCCATTTCCCAGAACTCAAGACCTTTAACATAATTATTATAAGTAGGCCAGGAAGAGAAGTTTAGGTTACAGAACTTCCTTGCTGATAAGAAATTATAAATTCTTATCCCTGAGCAGTTATTTATTTTATATGAAAAATTCTTGGGAGCAAAAAATATATTTTTTTGACTTTATGTCTTTTCAAAGTTTGTAATAACTTTTCTGGGCAATGCTTTTTCATCTTAAACTTTGTGGTAAAGATGTAAAGTATTTAGAAAAGACAAATTCTCACTGAGTTTCTTCAGGTGTTAAAAAAGATCATTAATACATAATATGATTTCTGCTATAATTCCTTTGGAAGATGTCTAATCAGCTCTATTATATTTTGAAGGTCAATTTTAAAGGAAGTGAAAAAGGTCACTCACATGACATTTCAATCAATTCCTTTCGAAGTTCTAGCAGTACTGCAACTCCAATGTTATCTTTTGTCATGACTCTGTTCAGCATAGCTTCAGACCCTTCTGAATTTGCCATTGCTAGCTGATTAAATTCAACAGTGTGTTTCTGAACCAAAGTAAATCTAAAACAAAAATAAAAACACACAAACAAACATAGAATTGGGAGTATCAAGATATCAGCTTTGTGGGAAATGTAGTTCTCCCAAACTTCCTCAGGAGAAATAACAGCACTTAAATCACGATGGAAAATCTTCCACACATTTAGCACCAAGATTCCCAAATCCATTTAAAGTTGTTTTTCAGTCTGTTACTGATACATATAATACTTTGAAATACCTTTACAAATTAATGAAGTCAACTTTTGTTTAGGTTTCAGGTTGGAATATTCTAGTTTTTAATTTTTAAAACTATTTTGCAAAGTATGGATTTAATAATCCCTCTCATATCTTAGAGGGAATGTTAACTACACAGTGCTTCAATTAACAATTGGAGTTAAAGCCCTAGTAAACACCTGAAGAAACAACAGCACTTTAAATATGTTTCCAAAACAAGATTAATTTTGATGATTAAAAACAAAACCCCAAGTTAATATCGTTCTCTGAGCAATAATGAATGTGTTTTAATCTTTTATTTGCCAATTAATTTCTGCACCCTTAGCTCCCACCCTGCAAATATTGTGAACATTTTCGTAAAAAAAAAAAAAAAAGATGGACTTACTTTTCAGTCTTGAAGAATATTGCACAGCCATCAACATGTTTTCTTTCTTGTTCTGACATTGTCCTAGCTCGAGATTTAGGACTAAAGAATCCATTATAACCACGTTCTTTCAGTTCTACCAGAAAAAAACTGTAATATTGTTCTGTTTCAACCTCCTAAAAAATTGTAAACAGTAAAGTTACTTCACAAGACAAAATTAGCTCTACATATTAGCTCTGTAGTCACAGTTTGAAATCCTAAAGTAATTTTTTCAAAGGATTGAGATGCAGATTAAAGAGTAAAACATTTTTCCAATGTAATTTACCTGAAATCAACCAGAACACATTTTATAAGTACCAAATGCCAAGGTCAATTCTTTGTTGTTTAGGAGTAACAAACGGAAAATGCATACTCCTATGCATATGAACAAGAATCAGAGAAATAGAAGAACTTCACAGATCTCAATTTCAGACTCATGAGACTCAAGTAACTTGCCTGAGATTGTTATTATAAGGGCTGAACTGAGAAGCCAAAGTTAGTGTATATAAGATTCAATCCTTTTCCCACTAGGACTGAATTATTATTCATGATAAATGGCAATATTTTAAAACCACTAAAGCTAGAATTTCAAATGTGTCAGTTTAATTTATTCCACTGTAATTGCTCCTTTTGTTGTCAATGCTGGGAGATTAATGAAATTTAAACACTCTTCTGTATGACTTACCTGAAGACTTATAATATCAGCATTGCAGCTCAAGATTTCTTGAATAATAGCCTTTTTCCTGTAGTCCCAATTTAGTGCCCATGATGGACAGTAGCCGTATAACTGCCGGGTCGCATATTTATCACAAAGAACATTATAGCACATGACAGAAAACAAGGCTGTAGGAAAGATAACTTTACTTATTCACACACGTGGCAGAAAAAAAAAAAAAAACAGAATTAATTTCAGTAATAGTTTACATTTAACATTTAAGTTTGATTTTATTCACTCAATCTATATTCATTAAAAAGCCATACAGATATGGTGGTGGTGGGGTATAAAGAATGGACAATGAAAGGACAGATATGTGAACAAGTCTGAATACAATGTGTTATTTTCTACAGAGGTATACACAAAAAGTTTGAAAACTAAAAGACTAAGATCAAGAGCCCTTCAACCTCTAAACCAAGATTCCTTAATTTTATACTCCTTCCACACCATTAATTATTAATGAAGAAAGTGGAAACTTGACAGGCAGTTTCCTTAACAGAAATGTCTAGTTTTCTTCCAAAAAGCAAATGTAGCCCCCTCAGAGAAATTTCAAGTTTCCCAGTGCACATAAAAGCTGTTTACACTGTAGTCTATTAAGAGTGCAATAGCATTATGTCTAAAAACAACACTGCACATAATAAAGAAATTTTTTTGCTAATAAATATCTAAGCTACTGGAAAAATGGCAATGATAGACTTGACAAGGAGTTGCCACAACCTTTAATTTGTTAAAAAAAAAAAAATGCAGTATATCTGTGAAGCACAATAAAACAAAGTACAATGAAATGAGGTATGCCAGTACTGATTAATACAAAAGAGGAGGAGTATCATAAACCAAATCCTATTAGACATGCCATGGGAGCTGCTAAATTCTTTAAGGATTTACTTATCTTACAATATTACAATGTCACATATATTGGAACGTATTAGGATTTGTAAATTTCCAACACAGAAATATTTCTGTGTGGTTATTACAATTAATTTAATTGATACTTTGTATCTTAATAATGGCACTACTAAAATTATGGGCGAGGGACTGGGCTATGCACCAAAGGATGTTTAGCAGTATCCCTGGTTTCTTCTACCCACTAGAAACAAGTAGCACTTACCCTAATTTTGCTAATCAAAATTGTCCCCACGCATTGCTAAATGTGCCCTTGGAAAATGAAATTGCCCCCATTTGAGAAGTACTGCATGGCAGTATATTTATTATAGCTTATATACAGAGAGGCCAGATAAATAAGAATTAAATTTCTATCTTGGCTATTATCTTGGTTATTAAGTCTTTATTATTACCCCCCAAACCAAATCAAAAAAAGTTCTGACTTAACACTACCCATAATCTAACGCATGCCCCAAATACTGTTAGGCTTATAGAGACAAATAAAAAGAGATAAGAAATAAGGATACCAACCAGTTGGCCTTGTTCTATCTGGTTCTTGCAACATAATCCAAGATCTTGGAGGTGGTTGTTCTGTTGAAACTAGTTGAATATAAAAAATATGAAATCAAGCAATATTCTTAAATGTCTTCCTAATAAAAAGGTTGAAACAAGTGACCACTTACTTCTTTTTGCAGTACCTGACAAATTATCAAGCAAATAATTCAGTAGCCTTTTTGTTCCATCTGGTTCCTGATAGAGGTTCAATATATCTTGGGTAAGTGGATTTCCTGAATATGTAAACGAAACCAAGATAAGTATAAAAATATTTCAAAATTATCTGATATTATTGTTACTAATAACCTACCAAACCATAGAAAAGATTGTTTTTTCAGGTTTTGATGTGAAAATAAAAATTTCTACCATGTTATACAGAGGTACGAAAAAAATTTTATTATTAATGATTTGATGCTAATCTGGATCTGCTCGACACGGGGCCCAGTGGCCTACACCTGTAATCCCTGTTAATCAGGAGGCTAAGGGAGGAGGATCCTAAGTTTAAGAACAGCCTCAACAACTTGGTGAGACCCTGTGTCAAAAAATAAAGAGGCTGAGGATGTAGTTTAGTGGTAAAAACACTCCTAGTTTCAATCCCCAGTACCAAAAATTTTAAAATAAAATATAATTGTTTTAATAACGCTCTGTACCTGACCCTGCCTCATCAACACTTTCAGTAATAGAGATGGTTACAATGATCTAAAGTGAATGGTACAGGTTGGGAAGAAGGAACAGAGAAGGGAAAGATGACAACTACTATCACAAATTAAAGAAATCAAAATTCAAGAATGCCATAAACTGTTGGTTTCAAGAAAACATCTTAATCGCAAATACAAGTACTGCACAAAGTTTTTAAAAACCCTACTGAACTAAGTAACAAGATGGGGCAGATTGCTTTAAAACCTAACCTACTAAGGAATGGGAAAATATCTGGGGCCAGGGCCATGAGCCATTTGTAAATTCAACAACTGTTATGCAAATGCCAAAAATAAAAACAAACAAAATGATTTAAAAGTAACTTCAAGAGCTGCAAATCCTCTCAGAATAACTTCTTAAGTACAAATGAGAACTATAGCACAATGCAGTGTTTCAACCAGCCAAGTTCCTATTCATGCTACACAAGTAGTATGTGTTATTTTGGAGCCACAGCTCACATAACACAGACTAGAAAATCTAGACTGAAGACAGCAGATAAAATTATCAATGATCTTAACTATTAACTACATCAAGTAAAGAAGAATGAAAGGATACTTATATCAGAATCATCACAGCCCACAGGAAAAAAAAATGGCTTTTCATCCATTCTCTTGTGAATACTAGAATCAGAAGGCAGAATGGGGACAAATGGATAGGATCTAACAGGAAAGCCTAATTCAGAAGACACTGGTAAGTATTAGAAGTATTTAAGGTGAAGTACGCTAGCCTGTGAGGTAGCAGAATATCACTCAAAGAAGCTGGATTACATCATGGGAAAAAAAATGGCAAAGTTACTTGACCTTTAGGATCTCTTCCAGTTTTAAGATTTAGGATTCTAAAAATTATAAAAGTAAAGATGTGCTATTTTATGACTTTGCAAAAAAAGGCAAAATGCAGGAGTGCCATGTTCTCAGAAGTACACAAATTTTATTTCTACTACAGCAATTTTATATTTCCACTTGGTCATATCCTATAAATTATAAGAATCCTTTGTTAAATATATCTTGGGAAAATTATGCCAAGCAAAAACTTCTCAGTCTAGGTAAAGCAGCCTATTTCAACAAGATGTATACGGATTATATTACTATCTAATGTAAAAAATGTAGATAGAGGTAACCACCAACTCTGAATCTCTCTCCTGAAATCCTTCTTTATAAATTAAAAACTATCCCCAAACAAACATCTATTTATGACTCTAATAAATACAACTGAAACCCATGGTGCCATTTCCCCCAATGTGTTTGCTTTTTGGAATTCCTTTTTTGCAATAGTGGGGACTAAGCTCAGGGATTTACACACCAAGCTATATTCCCAGCCTGTTTTAAGATTTTATTTTTGAGAGAGGGTCTTGCTAAATTGTAGGCTAGCACTGAATTTGCAATTCTCCTCCCTCAATCTCCTGAGAAACTAGGAATATAGGTATCCATCACTGTACCTGCTTCATTTTTTGAAATTCCTTTAAATTTAAAATTAATCTGCTCTTTACAACTTGGAAAAAGAAAATAATTTTCATAGTATAAAGATAACACCACCACCACCAAACTTCTGCAATTAAAACATGACATTGCCTCCTTAGAAGTAGGGAACAAATATAAGTGAGAAAAGTTGCTTCAGGGTGAATGGAATAAACATATTTTTCCCTATTCCTCCTACAAAGTACAATTAAAAACCACGCATATGTAATGTGGAACAAATATAAGATTCTGAAACTTGGAGAGAAGACAGAATGACCAGACATCTCAGGACCTGAAGAATGACACAATGACTGAAACTGAAAGAAGAATGGATAAATCTACAATTACAGTAGAAGACTTTAATGTCCCTCTCTCAACAACTGAAATAAGTAGACAAAAACTCGATTCAACAATATATGCTCTCACCTCAAGAACCTAGAGACAAAGAGTAAAATAAACTCAAAGAAGGAAGGAATCTTAAAAGAGCTATTACTTTGGGGGGAAAAAAATCAATAAAATTGACAAACTACTAGCAAGACTGGCAAGGAAAAAAGACAGAAATTAACAATATCACAAGTGAAATGGAATATCACTATAGACCCTGCAGAAATCAAAATGATAAGAGTATTTTCCACAAACGACTCTACCTACATACATTTAATGACATAGATGAAAGGGAACACTTCCTCAAAAAAACAAACTGTCAAAACTTACCCATCAAATGTGATTTTATATATATATATATATATATATATCACACACACACAAACACATACATACATACACACACAATGGAATATTATTCAGTCAATAAGAATATGACATTTGTCAGTAAATGGGTGGACCTAGAAACTATCATGTAAAGTAAAATAAGCCAATCCTCCCAAACCAAAAGTTGAATGTTTTCTCAGATATGTGGAAGCTAACTCCCAATCAGTGGGGGAGGAGAATAGAAGTTCAGTGGAGTAGATAAAGGAGAATGAAGGGAAGGGAGGGCAGATGGGACAAGGAAAGATAGTAGAATGAATCTGACATAACTTTCCTATGTACATCTATGAAGATACCACAGTGAATCTCACTGTGTCAAGTACCTCCACAAGAAATTAATTTAAAAATAACTATGAATAAATGTCAGAGAGATTAATTGCGGGAAGGAAGTAGGGAATGGGAAGAGAGAAAGAGAAAGAAAGGTACTGGGGACTGAATTAGAACAAGATATATTCCATGTTTAATAATTAGAACAAAATGGAGTCTACTCTTACGTATAAGTTAAAAAAACCAATAAAAAATGTTGATATAAGTTTCTAAAAAAAAAAACTTACCCATCATGAAACAGGTAAACTGAATAGACCTACAGTTACTAAGAAAATTATTTTAAAAGCTATTAAAGAAGAGTTCTTCAGTCCCACATGTTTTTATGGAGAAATTCTATAAAATATTTATATGAGTTAACATGGATTCCACAGAATCTCATCCAGAAAACAGAGGATAACGGAACACTTTTTCATTCATTACACGAAGCTAATATTTTCCTGACACCAAAAGACAAGCTACACGAGACAAAATATGTATGAACCACTTATTCAATAAATGACATATATCTAGAAAACAGTTAAAAAAACCAATCCAATTAAAACATGAGCAAACACATGAAGAAATATTTCAGAGAGGAAAAACTACAGATGACAAGCGCACGCAAAGATGTTTACTATCTATGTCTATGTGCAGTGGGATGGAGGAGTACTGGAGCTCTGCCATTGGGTCTTTTTTTTATATTTTATTTTGAAATGGGGACTTGTGATCTTCCTGCCTCAGCTTCCTGAGTTGCTGGGATTACAGGTGTGCCCAGATGATGTTCACTATCTTTAGCCACCATGGAAATGCAAATTAAACCCACAAGATATGATGACATAAATAATCAGAATGACGAAAATAAGAATAATGAAAATATCAAATGCTGATGAGGATGCTGAGAAACTGAATTGCCTATATGCTACTGGTAGGAAATGTAAAATAGTACTGTCTGAACAGTTTCAATAGACAGTTAAATCATGAGACATTAATACGATGAAATACTACAAACACACTATTAACAGACAAAAACCTGATGAATAACTTGAATAAAAACAAGCCAACTTGAAAGATTTCATACAGTGGGATTCCATTTATGTAACATTCTTGAAGCAAAATTACTGAAGTGGAGATCATATCACTGGTTGTTAGAAGTGAAGGAGTTGGGGTGAAAAGAAAGTGAGCATGGCTATAAAAGAGAAACATGAGGGATCTCTTGATGATGAAAATGTTCTATATTTTAATTATATAATTATGGGGTACAATGTGATGTTTCAATACATGTATATGTTGTGGGATGATCAAATCAGGCTAATTAACATCTACCATCTCAAATACTTATTTCTATATGGAAAGAAAATTGAAAACACTTTTTTTTTTTGGTGCCAAGATCCGAGATTGAATGAAAATGCATTGTTTTAGCTATTTTGAAATACATTATTAGTTATGATCACCATGCTACTCAGTAGATCACCTGTCTATCTGAACACCACCCTCCTCAGCTGCCCGGCCTCTGGTAACCACCACTCTGGCCTTTGAGTTCAACAATTTTTAGATTCATATGTACATTATTTGTTCCTTTGTACCTCTCATTTCACGAAATTTTCTTCTGCTTGTGATATTGCACTATAGTTTTAAAAGGTACTGTTAGGAGGAAACATGTGAAGGGTACAAGGATTATTCTGCATTACTTCTTACGAGTGCATGTAAATCTATAAATATATTAAAATAAAAAGCTTAGATTAAAACAAAAAGTAAATGAGCACCTAAGGTCACAGTCCTGTGTTTTACTGTTGCAAAATTTTAAAGAATATGGAAAAACGAGAGGGAGTTAAAAAAGTGAAACATGGTAACTCTACATGATCAAATTTAAAGACAATGGTATAAACTGATTCATGAAGCAGAAATACTTTGCCTCTGAAAGAATGTATAATATAGCAAATAGACATCACTCTGTGCTATGATACAACATTTAATCTCTTCCAAATAATAGGACACCTGTGAATCAATAATAAAGTTTTAGAGAGAGTACTTTAAGATGTAGCTGGCACAGAAATCTGTGAAAAGATAACTAATATTCAGGCAGACTTATGTAACACAGTTCAAAAGGATGTCTAAAATTAAAAAAAAAAAAAAAAAAGTCCAGATAACACTGTTATCTCCAAGGAAGAAACAAAAGTATAGGTGTAAAACACGAAATAGTAAAGGATCTTTTTGGAATGAAAGAGCAAGAGATTATCAAGAACAAAGCTGCCATAAAAGAGTGCACTGTCCTTCCCATAGTTTACTTTCAGGAGTTTCATACACATTAATTGATGACTGATAACCAGACCTTTAAATAAAGTTTGCAAATTCTTAATGAATATATAGTACAGTTTTTAAGTCAGATGCTGTGAGGTTATAAACTCCTGAACTGGAAGGACATACAAAAGACTTGAAGAGGAACAGAGAAGGCTTCAACATTCTCTAATGTTCTATTTCTTTAGCATTAAAAAATTAGCATAAACTGGGCATGGTGGTGCACACCTGTAATCCTAGCGACTTGGGAGGCTGAGGCAGAAGGATTTGAGACCATGCTCAGCAACTAGTGAGGCTTTAAGTAACTAAGCAAGACCCTGTCTCTGAATAAGAAAGAAAAAGGATTGGGGATGTGACTCAGTGGTTAAGCACTCCTGGGTTCAATTCCTAATATCAAAAACAAAAGTAATACTAATCAGCACAAAAGTTAACAATATATTAATAGTTAATTCTGATATTCAGAATACTAATGCACTATACTACACTTTTCTGCGCTTCAATTTTAAAAACGAATGTAAAGAAAAAGTTAGGCTGAAAAATATAACAGAAAAAGGTACCTTCAGCTTACATTTCACTTTAATTTTAAGAAGCCTCAGTCAGTCCAGCCCACACATAAAACTTATTTCCCAAAGAACCATTTACAAAGTTGATGTTTAATGAATATGATTTCATATATGCTGTAAATATTTTATTAGTATTTTTTCACTTCAGAGTTTATTAGTGACCTTTGTTTTGGGAAGCAGTTGTAGGGTAGGTTGTCCACACCTACCCAAAACTGGTGAAGAATCACTTAATGTGGTTACAAAAAAAAAAATTAAGTTTTTGACATATTGTTAAAATTTGACTTTTAATCTTGCTGGCTTAAAAAAATTCATAATAGTTCTTGATGGATCATTTATGCCCGAGTTTCTAATATATTAATCAAGTCCTTATAAATGAAATTTTAAAAAATACCCTCAGATTCTCACCTGCATTAGTAGATCCCAATGGTCAAAATTTTTCTGTAGTGCTTTATCAGAGTCTCCAGTTTTTGAGATATGAGCACAACTTTAAAAAGGTGTTTATGACACCATGAAATACTTTTTTTAAGTATGAACTTAGACATGTATCAACAGGACAGAGTTGATTTAAAAAAAGAGGCTAGAAGAGCAAACTAGTTTGGGCTAGGAGCAAAAATAAACACAAAACTAGCAGACAATCTATAGCTAAACAGACGAATGAGAAAGCCATTGGGATGCATCTAAGAAACTAATGGTATTTGAGAAAAAGTAGGCTTGGAGGAAATAAAAAATTCCGTGGTAAAAGGATTCTCTTCTGGCTTTTTTTTTTTAATTATTGTAAATGGACACAATACCTTTATTTATTTATTTTTATATAGTGCTTAGGATAGAACCCAGTGCCTCACAGCAAGCGCTCTACCACTGAGCTACAACCCTAGCCCCTCTTATGGCTTCTTTAGATTCCAAGACATACATAAAAACTAAAAGAAGCACAAATATGGAAGTCATACCTTTTAGGCCTAAAGTCTGCAACTGAAACAGTTTTCCCAGCTCAAAAGGTAGAACTCGTAACAGGTTGTTATTTAAATGGAGCTCCCTGTTGATGTAAAAATTCCAGGAAGTCAGAAGACATATTTTACCTTTAACAGTTAAGATTAACAATGTAATTTCTAGGAAACTAAGTATCTAAGAACAACAAAAGTTTTATATTATATTCTAAATATCTAAATTGGGCTTCTCCAGCCATACGAGGTTTTAAAAAAAAAATTACCACAAACCAAATTTGTAAAATACAGAAAACAATGAATTACTAGAAAAATTAAGGAAAAATGGGCAGATGTATAAAAAAATTCCTCTCAAACACAGTATTTATCTCATTGCAGACTGGAAACGCACAGCTTACAAACTTACCCAAGACCACAGACTATAGTGAATAGTCTAGCACATGTGTGGTCTACTAAGCAAGTTTAAGACAGTGGAAATGATTAAGCCTAACATGTGCATTGTTACAAGAGAACTAAAATGATCATGGAGTGCCAATTCAAATGAGAATAACAAGTTTATGGTTATTAGTTTTCTAAATTTACTGAAGTTTCACTTTAGAAATAAAAGCAGCTAATGAGTAGTTTAATGATTTGTTTTGCATAGAAAACCACAATATAAATATCATAGGAATCTTTAAAAGGGAAGAAAACAACCAGAGACCCAATACTGAGATACTGATGATTTCCTATATTGAGTTTTATTTGTTACATTTTAAGTGTGAAGAGAACTACTTTTACAATCCTTGCTGAAATTTAAATGAACCTTGGTTACACACTGATAAACCAGAGGTCTGTGAAGCCATAAATTCAACAAGAAAAACTAGTTCTGAACAATTGATTCCTGTTTATTTCCAAATACATTACATGGGAAAAGAGTTCCTGTAAGTTAATGTGTTACAGCATAAAATTCAATAATTAAGCCTAGAAAAATGCCAGCAGTGAATTGTTCTAGAACAGATAAGATTTCCTGTTAACCCCTTTCCACAATTTCTTGGATAATAATTTATTGATCAAAACATGTATTTAATCCACAGATTAAATTACAGAGACTACTATATAATCCTTGACATTTTTATCTGGACTAAGAGCAATTTAGAGGCAAATAAACTTCCACAAAGTCCTCATTTCTCTTTACTAGAAAGCAGTACAAAAGCCAGGGAAAAAGGGCAGGTAAATAGGAATTAACTCAATAGTTGGAATGTGGCTTTATATTTAACTTGGGTAGATCTGATATACCTTATTTTAAAAAAGTAATGAAAAATAGCAATTACCATATGTTAAAATATGGTGTAGGCAGGGTGTTAGTAGCTTTTTACTCATTATCTCAGATAAACCTTATCTCAGTTTAAGACGCATGCCTGTAAATGGCAAAGTCAAGATTCAAACCTGAATTCTGACTCCAAATCCTATCTACCATACTGTAAGGACTTCAAATTGAATAACTAATTCTAGCTTCTTTCATGTCCAGACTTTACATAAAAGCCCTGGGGTGGCAAAAAAGGTCTAATTGGCAATGTTACCTAGACCCAGTGTTAAGGATGATATGAGAAAATACAAGTGCCTTATGGTTACTAACTTCACTTTGTAAAAAAAAAAAAACATAATAATAATAATAATGAAAATTTTTTTGGTTAAAATATAAAGCACATTACTCAAAACAGCAATAAAAATTTTTCAAGCAATGGATCTACTGAACTATTAGCCAGTATTTAATTTTCTCAAAAAACTTTAATTAATAAAGAATACAGTTAATGTTTACTTTTATTGCAACACCATCAAATGGACAATCTTGTTTCCTAACAAAACAAATGCTATATTTTGTTTTAGGAGGTATATAGTTAATGTGTACTAAAATTCGTCTGCATACCTGAGTGATACCATGTTTCCGAGTTCTGCGGGTAAACTACGGATTTTATTAGAGGACAGGTCCAGATACACCAGATTGTGAAGCTTGGCAATGTCTGAAGGAATGCGGGACAGGGAATTGTCACTCAGATGCAAAGCTGTCAAGTGAGTTAGTGACCACAAAGATGAGCTTAAGCTTCTTACTTTTCCTGTAAGAGAAAAAAATGTCAAGTATTATATAGTAGTCTTTATAATTTAATCTGTGGATTAAATACATATTTTGATCAACTTAAATTATTATCCAAGAAATTGTGGAAAGGGGTTAACAGGAAATCTTATCTGTTCTAGAACAATTCACTGTTATCATTAAGTTATAAGCTCTCTACTTAGCAGATAAAAACAAAAACTTTAAAAGCATTGTATCAATATATTTATTTATTATTATTTTATCTTTTTTGGTACCAGGAATTGAACTTGGGATGCTGAGCCACTGAGCCACATGCCCAGCCCTTTTTAATTTTGTTTGTTTGTTTGTTTGAGACAAAGTACTTAGGGCCTTGCTGAACTGCTGAGGCTGGCTTTGAACTTGCCATTCCTCATGCCTTGACCTCTCAAACTGCTGGGATTACAGGCATGCGCCACCACATCCAACTAGACTGTATGTTTTTAAAATACAATGGGCAAGAATTTGTCTTTAAAATGATCTCAGATGAGTGAAATATATGAATAATTTATGATAAATTCAACATCTGATCATGATTGATTTAGATTTATAGAAAATCAATTTCTAGTATCTCAGAAGCTGTTCTTATCTGTACTTCAGAAAATAATTTGCCTCAAAACAAAAAGGAAAACAAAATATTCTCAGTCTAGATGAGTTTAAAATCAGAGGGTCCAAGCAAAGATTACTTCAAGAATCCTTTAAGTAAACAAAATTTGTACTATGTAAAAACAAATATACTTGTCCAGTAATACTTCAGATACTAAGTTTAACTACAGAATCTAGTAGACATAGGATTTAACTAAAAACAGAATGACAACATCTTTTAATGCAATATTAAATCCATACTTTGGCATTTCTTGATTAAGAGGTCAACAGTTTGTACAACTTGATAACTTTCTCTATAATCTCCTTAATGGTTCAAATTCTAATGTGAATGAAACAAACAGATGTGACAGAAATAGAGCTTTTGAGAACTGACTAATCCTCTGATGCCTTAAAAAGCAACTTTGAGATTTCTAATCAAGGTGGAATAACAGGGACAACATATACCATCCCACCTGCAAAATTTACATTAGAAACCTACTGGTGTAGCAGAGTTATCCCTCAAAGGCAGGGAAACAAACTAGGTAGGCCCTATAGTAGTCTCAGTTAACTTCTTATTATAACAGGAAGAAGCAGAGCAGGGAGGGGGATTCCAGCTAGAGCACAGTGATCTCCCCAGTTCTGGAGAAAAGGTCCAGGGAAACCAAGGTGACTTAGAATTCAAGAAGGCAGTGTACTAGAGAGAAATGAACAAACGTCTGTTGATGTGAAGAAGACCCCTCCCACAAGTTTTCAAGAAGGCTCCCTTCAAGCACTGATTATCACATGAATGAGAGAAACTGCCAGAGCCAGAGAGGAAAAAACACTCAAAAGGACTGTAAGGCAACAATCAGGTTCACATAGAACCAAGGCTAGACTGTGTTCCCAATGGTCAAAGGGAGAAATCTCTTAATTCACAAAGCACTGGGCCTTATTAGTGGTACAAAATTAGCATTACACTAATGGCTGCTCTGGTCTCACATAGGAAAGTTTAGGATTAAGCCTCTGAAAAATCAAACTGTTTTTAAGTAATTTAACTGCACCCCAAGACTAGTAATAGGAACACAAAAATATGTATCATCCAATAAAAATTCATATCTAGCACTTCTTTAAAAAAAACACCAAGCAGATAAGCAAAAAGGAAAATAAAATCCATAATGAAGAAAAAAAATCAACCTAATAAACCAGTCAAAAGATAATAATAACATTTGTAGATATTAAACAGTTATACTCCATATGTCAAAAAGCTAGCCAATTATGTTAAGTAGAAATAGAAATGACAGGTAGCCAAGACACATAAAATGAATTTCTAAAGTTGCATCCAAGATCTAAAATGAAAACAGTCAGAATGAGATTAATAGCACATAGACAGTGAAGAAAATTAGTTAATTTAAAGATATAGCAAGAGAAACTATACAAAATTAAAGAAAGAAAACAATGAAAAGTACATTAATGAAGTCTAGGACAAGTTTAAACAGTCCAGTATTAGTAGCACCTGAAACAGGATTGAGGTGGGGAGAAAAAAGAAGTTTAAGAAATAAAGGCAAGGACAAAAAAAAATATTCACATGTAAAAGAATGAAGATGGGCCTCACCTCATACAAAACTCAAAAAACTCTTGGAAGAAAACACACATAACTTCTGTGGCCTTGGATTAGACAATGATTTATTAGATGTGACACTAACAGCACAAGCAATAAAAGAAAAATTAGATAAAACCACATTCATCAAAATTAAAAATCTTTTGTACTTCAAAGGATGTCAAAAGGGAAAAGAGAATCCCCAGAGTGGGAAATAATATTTGCAAGCCATAAATCTGATAAGACACTTACATCTAGAATATATATTTAAAATAAAATTTTTATAACTAAAAAAAAGACAATTCAATTTAAAAATGATCAAAAAAAATCTGAATTTCTCCAAAGAAGTTACACAAATGACTAAAAAGCACATGAAAAGATGCTCAATGTCATTAGCCACAAGGGAAATGCAACCAAAACCACAATGATACACTACTTCAAACACACTGGAATGTACATAATAAAAAAGACAGATGATAAGTATGGGCAATGAGCAGAGAAACTAGAACCCTTGTAATGCTGCAGTGGAAATTAAAAAAAAAAAAAGTGATGCAAACACTTTGGAAAATAGTATGGCAGTTCCTTAAAAAGTCAAATACAGACTTAGCATATGGGCTAGCAATTCACTCTTATGTATATACCCAAGAGAAATGAAAACACACATCCACATAAAAGTTCATGGAAACATTGTTTTAAGAGACCAAACTGGAAACAATCCAAATGTCCATCATTTGGTGAATGGATAAACAAATATGGTATTTCCACATAACAATATTATATGAAGTACTAATACATACTACAACATGGATAAACCTCAAAAACATTTATAAATCAAAGAAGGTAGTCATAAAATAACAGGTATTATATACCATTTACTGCAAAACGTCCAGGATAGTCAAAAAACCACCAAGACAGCAGATTAATGGTTGCTGAGTTATAGGATGTTAAGGGGAATGAATGTCTGCTAACAGCACAAGGTTCCTTTTGGGGCTGATGAAAATATTATCAATTGATTGCGGTAAATGTTATACAACTCTATAAAAATTAAAAGTCACTGAAAGTGCACTTTAATTGGGTGAATTGTATTTCAAGCTGTTAAAAGATTCAGGTAGGCAGAAAATTTTCCATATCTGATGAAAACTATAAACCCCCAGATACAAAAAGCTCAATGAACCCAAACATATGAAAATTCCATAAAAGGGGGGCTGAGGTGTAACTAAGTGGTGAAGCACTTGCTCAGCATGTATGCAGCCCTAAGGTCAATTCCCAAAACGGGGGTGGGGGGGATGATTGAAAATTCCATAAAATAAGAAAGCATAAAGAGAAAATCCAAAAAGCAGCCAGAAAGGAAAAAATAAAAGTCCATTTCATACAGAAGAAGCAAGGTAAAATGTCAGGAGAATTCTAGCTACAAATCAAACAAGAGAAGATAAGTATTTTAGCCAGCTTTTGTGTTATGTGACCAAAAAACCCAACAACAACAACTTAGAAGAGAAAAAGTTTATTTGGGGCTCATAGTTTCAGAGGGCCAAAGGCCAACTCCATTGCTCTGAGCCTAAGGTAATACAGCACATCACAGAGGAAGGGCCCAGAGAAGAAAAGCTGCTCGGCTCATGGAAGAGTCAGGAAGGTGGGGTGGGGTATAGGGCAGAGACGTCCTGCCAAGACACATTCCCAATGACTTACCCCACCCCTATAGTTACCATCCAGTCAAGTCCATTCCAACTAGTATGGGCTGATTACATTACAGTTCTCATGATCTGACCATTTCACCTATGTATATTCTTGCATTAACAAGGTTTATTTATTTATTTATTTTTGGCAAAGAAAAAATATCCCAGCAATCCAGCACAAATATCTTTTAAAAGCTCACTACTTTCTCAGATATAGAAAAGCTGAAAGAGTTCACTGCTAGCAATAACACAATAAGAAATAAAAGAAAATTCTCTAGGAACCAGAAATACAATATCAAATGAAAATCTGCATTAACACGCAGGAATAGAGAATGAAAGAATAAAGGTTCAGTACCTTATCCCAAATGCTTAGAACCAGAAGCATTTCAGATTTCATAGGTTTTTGATTTTAAAATATTTGCATATGGACTTTAGCAGCTAAGCATTCTAAATCTGAAGGTCTAGAATTTTTTGAATGTGGGCACTCAGAAAGTTTTGGACTTGAGAGCATTTTGGTTTTCAGATTAGGGATGCTCAACCTGCAATGAATATATAGATAAATAACATACTTTGAAAATATTTTAAATATCTTTAAAAGACAATTGATAATTTAAAGCAGAATTAACAATAAAAGAATAAAAGATGGGTGGGGGAAATATAAAAGTGTATTGCTGTTAAGGTACTCACATTTGGTAGGATTGAGATAGTATTACTAAAAGGTATTCTGTAATGGGTTAGACACTTAAAAACCTGTAATTATTTCAAAAGAAGGCGGAGGCGGGGGGAATACAGAAGAATAACTGGGATGAATAAAAAAAGTCATAAAGACAGTTGATTTAAAATTAAATGTCTTAAATACCCTGAAAAGAATAGCTGATTTGCATTTTTAAAAAGCAAGCCCAACTTACATATGCTGCATGTAAGAAATATATTTTAAATATAAAGGCATATGGGAAAAAGGCAATGAAAAATGTAATAAAAATATTAATGCTAACACTAATAAAAACAAAGCTGGTGTGTTATGTCAATGGTAGATGTTTATGCAACAAATGACAAAATTCTTGAGCAAAACCTGACAGAACTTCAGAGGAGACAAATCCATAAGAGATTTCAGAACCTTTCCCTAAATTTACAAGAAATAAATGTGAAAGAATATAGATGATGTGAACAATACTATCAACAAACCTGACCAAATTAGTATTTATAGAATATTCTACCCAGTAACAGCAGACTTCACATTCAAGTGCAAAAGAAATATTTATCAAGACAAATTCTGTACTAGGTCATAAAACAAATCTCAATAAATTAAAAAGGATTAAAATAAAAGGATGCTTTCTGATAAAATTATGTTGGAATTAAGTTAGAAATCAATAGTTATTCAAAAAAATTGCAAGTATCAATCCCACTGAATATCAACTCAATGGCTTCTAGTCAGAAGCAATCAAGAGGATAGTTAGAACGCATCTTATACTGAATGAAAATGAAAACCTAACATATCAACCTTTGTGGAATGTAGCTAAAGCAATGTTTAAAAGAAAGTTTATAGGGGCTGGGATTGTGGCTCAGCGGTAGAGTGCTTACCTCACACATGGGGGGCCCTGGGATCGATCCTCAGCACCACATAAAAATAAATAAATAAATAAAAATAGAGGTATTGTGTCCAACTACAACTAAAAAATAAATATTTTTTTAAAAAAGAAAGTTTGTAGTACTAATCCCCATATTAGTAAAGAAATAAAGTTTCAAGTCAATAAATATCTTTGGCTTTACCTTAATAACTAGAAAATAAGAAAACCAAAGCAAGCAAATAAAGGGAGTGAAATCTAAGAGCAAAGGTCAAGGAAATGTTAACAAGGAAAAAACAGACTAAGCAATGAACCAAAAGTTGGTTCTTTGAGAAATAGAAGAAGTCATAAACCTCTAGTCAGAATGATCAGGAAAAAAAGAAAAGACACAAATTACTACTATCTGGAAAGAAGTGTAAACATCACTACATATCTACATGTATTAAAAAGATATGGATCATAAAATGTTTACAGGGGCTTTATTCAAAATTTCCCCAAATGGAATGTTCTTCATCTAGGATAAGATGTACACAGATACTGGAATTCTACTGCATGATGAAATCTCATTCACACAACCTTTATGAAATACAAAAAGCTACATTCTATATACAGTTGGTTCTCTGTAGCTGTGGTTTGGGATCCATAAATTCAACCAACAGTAGACTGAAAATATCTGGTAAAAAACTGCATGTGTACTGAACATGTACAACCTTTTTATTGGTTATTATTCTAAAACAACAAAGTATAACAGTTATTACATAACATTTACATAGTATTAGGTATTCAAAGTAACTAGAGATGGTTTAAAGTATACAGAAAGTTATGTGTCTATAGGATATATGCAAATATTATGCCTTTTTATATATGAAACTTGAGCATATGCAGATTTTAGAATCCCTAAGAGAAAATACTGCCATACTGAGGGATGAGAGTATTTGATGTACTTGCAAAAACAAAAAAATCAGTAACAGAAAAAGTTATCAGTGGCTACCAAAGACTATGAGTGGAGAGTTGACTAGTCACTGGGATTTTGGGTGGGTAACAAAACTATTCTGTATCCTGATTTTAGTGGTAGCTAAACTGTGTGTGTTTGTCAAAACACATAGAAATACACACAATATAAAATGTGAAATTTACTGTAGATAATTCATTCCCTAATAAATTATAAAAAGATAATGAAGGAGGGGCTGGGGTTGTGGCTCAGTGGCAAAATGAATGCTTCACACATGTTAGACACTAGGTGCGATCCTCAGCACCACATAAAAATAAATAAAGATATTGCATACATCCATAACTAAAAAAATCTATAAAAAGATAATGGAGGAATATTTTGAACAACATTATGCCAATCAATTCAACAAACTAGATGGAACGGACAATGCAAAGACAATATCAGAGTACATTCAGAAAAAAACAGCTTTAACAGACCACTGTGTACTACAGAAATTTAATTTATACTTAAACTTTCCACAAAGAAAACTTTAGAACCAGATATTCATTGGCGAATACTACCAAACATTTAAGGATGAAATAATGTCAAATCAAATTCAACAATTAAAAAAAAATAATGGGGCTGGGGATGTGGCTCAAGTGGTAGTGCGCTCGCCTAGAATGCGTGCGGCCCGGGTTCGATCCTCAGCACCACATACAAACAAAGATGTTGTGTCTGCCGAAAACTAAAAAAAAATAAATAAATATTTAAAAAAAAAAAAAAAAAATAATGAACAAGTAAGGTTTATGCTATTAATTCCAGGTTTGTTGAGTATTCCAAAATCAGTGTAAATTCATAATATTTACAAGGCTAAAAGAAAATTTTATGATCATCTGATGGCTGCAGTTTAAAAAGCTTTTCACAAAATGCAAAATCCACACTTGATTAAAAAAAACAAAACTCACTAAATTAAGAACAGAACTTCCTTAGCATGATAAAGAATACTTATAAAAAGCTCAATGGTAAAGGAATTAATGGTTCCCCCATAAACTCAAAACCAAAGCAAGAATGTTCACTCTCTCCACTCCCATTCAACATTATGCTGGAGGTTCCAGCCAGTTTAATAAAGCAAGAAAAATAAACGACTTATAAGGCTGAAGTAAAACTGTATCTGCTAATCATGTAATTATTTATGTAAAAATTGAATGGTAGATATAAAAAAAGCCACCAATAAGTAAGTTTTGCAAGGTTGCATGTAGAAGATCAATATGAAAAAATGTGTTGTATTTTGAATATTAGCAATGATCAAGAAATTGAAATTTCAAATGATATCATCTATGACAGCATCAAAATTACAAAATAGTGGGCTGGGATTCTGGCTCAGTGGTAGCACTTACCTAGCACGTGGGTTCGATCTTCAGCACCACATAAAAATAAGTAAAAAAAATAAAGATATTGTTTCCAAATACAACTAAAAACAATATACTTTTTTAAAAAATTACATACAAAACAGTGATAAATCTGGCCTGCACACTGAAAACTACAAACAATACTAAGAAAAATTCAAGTCCTTTGTAAGTGAAGAAATGTATAGCAATCATAGATTAGAAAACTCAATACTGCTAAGGCATTAGATTTCCACAAATGATTTACAATGTCAACACAATCCCAATCAAAATACCAGCTATTTTGAAATTGATAAACTGACTGTAAAAATCATACAGAGGGCCTAGGGGTACAGTTCAGTAGTAAAATGCACATCTGGCACGAGGATGGCCTTGAGTTCAAACCCAGCAAAGTACACACACAATCATATGGAAATGAAAAGAACTCAGAAACACCAAAACAACTTTAAAAAAAGAATAAAACTGGAGGGCTATCACTACATTATTTCAGGATTTAATATGATAAATAATAATGGTCTGGATGTGTCCCCCAAAGTTCATCTTATAAATTTAATCCCTGGGGCAATAGTGTTGAGATGAGGGGCCTAATGGGAGGTGTTAGGTCATAGTAGATTTATGTTCTGAACATGGGAGTGGATTTATAAAAGGGAGTATGGACCCCTTTTTTCCTCTCTCAAGAGCACATTCCCTTTTACTAGGTGATATGTTCCACCATGTTAAGTACAGGGACAAAGTCCTTACCAGGTACTGCCCTTTAATCCGGCCTCTAGAACCATAAGCCACATAATTTTCTTTCTTTTTTTTTTTTTTTTGAAAAAATTACCCATTCTGTGTTATTAAACAATGTAAAAAGGACTAAAACAATAAAGAATTCTCAAAATTTAGTATGAGAAAAACAACAACTTCCAAAATAAGACAAATTTGAATCGATACTTCTTCAAAGACACAAAAAAAAGTTCAACATCACAGGTCATTAGGGAGATTCAAATTAAAATCACAATAAGATAGCACCCAAAGGAGTACCAAATTTAAGACTCACCATGTCAGAAATTGATGAGGGTATAGAACAAAGATATCTAGTAGGAATGTAAAACTGGACCTTTTTGCAATACTTTCATAGTGTTTTTTAAAAAGTTAACCATATACTTACCATATGGCCAACTCCATTCTTAGATATTTACCCAAGAAATAAAACATGTGTCCAAAGATTCTTCACAGTAGTTACATTGGTGACAATCAAATACAGTGAATAACCCAAATGCATTTAACAGGTGAATGGATAACCAAATGTTGGCATATCCATACACTATAACATTACTCAGCAAGAAAAAGAAAGAACTACTGCCAAGACATGGTGGCACATGCCTATAATCCCAGCGGCTCAGAAGGCTGAGGCACGAGGATTTTGAGTTCAAAGTCAGCCTCAGCAAAAGCGAGGTGCTAAGCAATTCAGTGAGTCCCTTCTCAAATACAAAAAGTTAGGGCTGGGGATGTGGCTCAGTGGTTGAGTAGCCCTGAGTTCAATCCCCAGTAATCCCCCAGAATCACCCCCCAAGAAAGAAAAAATAGAATGAACTACTGAAAACCAACAATATAGATGACTTCAAAGTAAGTATATAGAATAAGAGCAGACTAAAAAATAAGTCAGTCCATAGTGTAGTGTACGATGTCATTTATATTAAAATTCTACAAAATGCAAACAAATCTACTTAGAAAACAAAATGGTAGCATAGGAATGGGGAAGGAGATTGAACAAAATGGGGGAGAAGTGAGAAGGACCCCAAACTTTCAGTAATGATGTTCATTCTTGATTGTGGTGATGGTTTCACCGGTGTATGCATAGATCAAAATATTTCACATTATTCATTTACATGTATGTTGATTTTTGCAAGTCAGCTATATCTCAGTAAAGCTGTATAGTAAAATCTGCCTTGACACAAAAATATATTTCCTTCCAATACCTTATAATTATAGTGGAAACTACAGCATAGACTATTTATAAAACAAACTTTATTCACTTTATTTTCAGTTCATATAATTGGAGGTAAACTAGTATTTTATATGAGTAAAGCATTTAATATTTTAGCAAATGATTTACTGAGTACCTACCATGTTTGGTATGCATTAGTCCTTTATACTTAAAGAGAGGGGAAGAGTATAACTTCAGAAGCAAACAAAGGCTCTACACAGAAACACAACTTCTATGGATTTATGGAGGCTCATTTTAAAAACCTATAAATTTGTATATTGTTTTCCTACATAGGGCAATTCTATTTGCCAGAATGACAAAATGACATCTCCACAAAAAAGGTAGAAGATATATAGGTACAGTCATGTAAACTTTATGGTTTATATGTATAAAGTTTTCTGTGAGGTATATTGGTAGGTAAGGTATGAGAGTAAGTGTAGAAAGATAACATTAGTTTAGGTTTTGAATTTTATTATCCAAATATATGAATACAGTATAAATATATAAGGGAAAATATTCAAATGTATAGGGATTTGCATATAGTTAATTTTTTTGAGATGGATATTTACATTGTTGTTTAGATGTATTTTATGAATATGTAACTGAATATATATGAAAATTTATAGGTAGGATTTTTGTTTAGCATTAGAATACATACATATACATTTCATAAACATAAAGGAATATATATGTAAAAATATATATGGGTATTCAAAGTAATAATTTTTATATAGAAGACTGATAGTTATGGGTAGGTTAGGTTTAGTTTTGAGTTAGGGACTAGGCTGATGGTGAGGTTTACCACTGGAATACATATACCAATATATATGCATATAAATATGAATACAGAATTAAAATTACATATGAAAGTTTATAAATATACATAATTTTACCTATGGATATTTTAAAGTTACGCAGTATTTTTATGTTATGTGTTAAATTTAGGGTTTGCCTATGGAAATGATTTTATGTTTGAATTTAAAAATTTATATCCCCAAATATATAGGTATATTCATGTAAAGTTATCTGGTCTATATGTGTAGACGTTTCTGTTGAGCTGCAGTTGTAGGGACAGGACTATGTTGTGACAAAGTGTTAAGGTTAGAGTTAGGGTTTGAACGTTTATATCAATATATAAATACAATATGGATATATATGTAAAATGTATGTTAAAATATTTATTTATATGTATCTGGAATTCTATATAGTTAGTTTTGTGTTGAGATGGATGTTTACAATTTGTTTTAGATATAGGTTATAAATATATAACTAAAAATGTATGAAAATTTACATGTAGTATTTTGGTTACCAAGAGAGGGTGTGTGTGTATGTGTGTGTGTGTGTGTGAATGTATATAAACATATATAGGAATATATGTGTAAAAATATACATGGGTATTCAAAGTGATAATTATAATTTCTTTGTAAAAGGCTCATGGATATGGGTAGTGTTAGGTTGAATTCTGAGTTATGGATGGGGTTTATGGAGAGGATTACCTTGAATGTTGAAGTAAAATCATACATGTAAATTTAAAAAATAAATAAATAAAAAGCAAAACTAAAAAAAAAAAAAAAAAAAAAGCTAGAAGATAACCAGAAAGGAACTAGAAAGATTGGGGGGGGGGGGGGGGAGCGGGTGGCAAACAAACAAAAAAATGTCAGATTTCATGTGTAAATAAGTAAATTATACATGGGGTAGAAGAAAAAAACAAGGGAGGACTCAGATCCCTAACACACTCTGGGGGAAAAATCTGGAATAAGTCTAAACACCAAAACAGATAACTAACGGAAGAGAATATTTCTAAGTGTAACTCAAATCCCATGATCCAAAATGAAAATAATTATCAGTTTGAAATCATTAAAATTTAAAACTTCTATATGATAGACATATCAACATATGTGGGAGCCAAGAAGGTAACATTCATTAATTCAATTAACTTTTCAGTATTTACCATACTGGTGTTGGGACAGAATGGTAACAATGTCTCTGTCCTCATGATTTTTTATGTGAGCTCTATAATGAAGGATAAAAGAAAATAAATAAGGCAGCAACTAGAAGATAAACAACAAGTAATAACTGGTAAGCAACTTAAGTAAAAGAAAGGGTGGGTTGGAGCTCAGTGACAGAATATTTGCCCTGCATGTGTGAGGCCATGGGTTCAATCCCTAGTACTGTAATGTAATAGAAGGCATTCAAAATTTAGTAACAGAAGAACCACAAAAACTCATTTCTACCTATGCAAATAGCAAAATAAAAAGACTATAAGTAATAATGAAAAGACTAAGGAAGAAAAAGACATATTCATTATGGAAAGGCAAGCAGGAAGGAAGACACAGGGCTAGGCAAATGAAAAAAACATGCATTTTCAGAAATAAAAGAGGCAAGGATTCAAACAGTAAATGTCATCCTTCAGTGTTCTTGGAGAACTGTTTTCAGACTCTTGCAGATACCAAAATCCGTGGATATCTTAAGTCCCTTATATAAAACAGCACAATATTTGCATATAACGTAGGAACATCCTCCCTTCTAATTTAAATTATCTCTAGATTACTTGTAATACCTAATAAAATGTAAATGACTGTTACATTGTGATTTACCTTACTAAAATACTTGCTCAAGTATGTTAATATATATGCTGCTGGTAGAGGGGAAAATTAGAAATTATATAAATGATCAGTAATAAGATCTATTTATGAAACATTTATACAATATTCTGTAGCCATTATCTTTTGGAATGACATAGTTAGGTGTATCAATGTGAAAGATACAATAAGAGAAGCAAAATAAAATTTTAAAACATAGTACTCCAGTAAAATGATATCATAACTTAAAAGATCAAGGTACAAAAGTAAAAGAATGTAACATATTAGAGAAAGGTAAATCTCTACTGACAGAACTAAGAAATTAAGTTTCCTAATTTCCTGGGAAAGACAATAAGCAAAAGTCTTTTTATAATCTGATGCTATCCATTGATTTCTTCCCCATAAAAGTGTACATACAGCCATGTGTTGCCTAAAAATGGGAATGTTTTGAGAAATTG